CCTACAGCTTTGGTTAAAAGAGCAAAACCAAACAGCCCCCGGATGTCCATTCTCGGCGGCTGGACCCGCAAGCGATGAGGCAGCGTGGCATCCACACTCCGAAGAACGTGCCGCCGTGAACCCGAGCCCGACCCCTGAGCTCGGCCCGCTGCTGCCACGGTGCGGCGTGGGGGCCCGGTGGGAAGTGGAGAGTCAGGGGGAACTGTGAGCGTCTGTTGAGTAGACGCAGGTCTGGAAGGAGAATGGGTGAGCTCTGGTGGTGGTTGCTGGAGGTGCGAGGGGGTGCGGGAGGTGATCTTCCACCACAGCTGTGAGCCGTGAGCTGTTCGCAACGAGCTTGTGTAATTTCTGTGCTCGAGTGAGAGAACATGCTTCTCTGAGCCAGACCTCTGCTGGGACCCAGAGCGGCTCATGTCTCCCCGAACGGTGCTGTCCCTCCCCTTCTTCCCGCGTGAAGTCTCCTGGGTCCCTTGCAGCTCCGGGGCCGGGCCCGGGCCAGGGGTCAAAGCGGGGCTTTGTGGTCAGCACATGGTTTCTCCTTTGAAGTTTGTTGATTTGGGGAGTGACGGTGGTTGCTTTCCAAGTGCTCGGCCACCTCGCTCCCAGCTGGTCAGGCTGGGTTAGCACTTCAGCTGTCGAATTTGATTTGCTGAAATTTTGTTTAGAATTTTACATCGATGTTCATAGGAGCTGTTAGTCTTTCGTTTTCTTTAATTCTCTTTTCTGGTTTTGACAACCCAGAGAACTCTAGCCTGATGGCATGAGTTGTAAGTATCCCCTTTGTTTTGATGTTTATCTAGAATAATGTGTACAGAATTGGTGTTTACTTCTCAGCGTGTTTCACGGGGTTTATGAGAGCACGCATCTGGCCCTGTGGGGCTCCTGTGTGTGTGTGGAGGCAGGTTTTTAACTGGGAAGTACATGTGTTGGTAGATGTAGGCCTGTTTGAGTGAGCCTCGAGGCTGGCACGGAGCCTCGAGGCTGGCACGGAACCAGAGGCAGCTCCTGCCCTCCGCTCCCTGACATGGGGTTCCTCATTCAACAGTTTGATCAAATGGTTTTTTAAAATATCTTTTTATTGATCTCAGAGAGGAAGGGAGAGGGAGAGAGAATCATTGATTGGCTGCCTCCTGCACGCCCCCCACTGGAGATCAAGCCCACAACCCGGGCATGTGCCTCGACCGACGGAATGGAACCATGACCTGCTCGTTCACAGGTCGACACTCCACCACTGAGCCATGCCAGTCGGGCAGTTTGATCAATTTTATTGCTCTTCTCAAAGAACCGGCTCTTGGATTCTAATATTTTCTTTGTTGTTTTTCTATGTTTGATTTTATCGGTTTCTGCTCTGATCCTTATTAGTTTTTCTACTTCCTTGATTTTAATTTGCTCTTCCTTTCCTAGTCTGTTGAGATGGACTCTGAGGGCACTGATTCAAGTCCTTTCTTCTTTTCTAATAGCCACATTTGATGCTGTAAATGTTTCCCCCGAAACCCTTATGATAGGTTGTATTTTTATTTACTTCAAAATGCTTTCTAATTTCCCCTTCGATTTCTTCTTGAAACTATGGATTATTCAAAAGTGTTTTTATTTCGTTTCCAAACAGCTGGGTATTTTTCTACAGACATTTTTATTATTGATTTCCAGTTCAACCGCACTCTGAGCAGAGCACATGCTTAGTGTGACAGGAGTACTTTAAATGTATTAAGACGTCGAACGGTCCAGAATATGGTTCTCTTGGTGAAGGTCACCGTGCACTTTAAAGAATGTGTATTTTTCAGTTTGGGGTCGCATGTTTTTATAAATGTTAACCAAACCCAATTGCTTGAGGATGGTGTTCACACCTGCCTCACTCTCACACGTCTGCCTGCCCATTCTGCCTGCTGCTTGGAGGGTTCGCCATCTCCAACTGTCTCTGACCTGTCAGTTTCTGCTTCACGTATTTGAACCACTTAATAGGGCCATAAGCATTTAGGATCAGTCTGCCCTCCTGACGTCGTCCCCTTATCACTATGAGAGACCTGTCTGTTCCTGGCAGGGCTCTTTGCTCTGAAATCTGCCTTGTCTGACAGTAGCAGACACTGCAGCTTTCTTCTGATTAGTTTTAGATTAGAATATCCTTCTCCTATGTCCTTTTAATCTATTTGTGTCTTTTTGTCTTTATTGATTAAGGTATTACATATGTGTCCTTATCCCCCCATTGTCCTCTACCCCCCTACACGCCTCCCCCCAGTGTCTGTATCTATTGGTTATGCTTATATGCATGCACATAAGTCTTTTGGTTGATCTCTCCCCCTTCCTCCCACCCTCCCCTGCCTTCCCTCTGAGTTTTGACAGTCTGATCGATGCTTCTCTGTCTCTGGATTGAAAGTTTTTATTTTTAAACAATTATTTAATTTCAGAAAACTATAATTCAGGGTTAAAAATACAGGAAACTAAACTTAGTAAGTTAAATGATTCATTTCTGGCATTACTCTGCCGGTGTATAGTAAGATCACATGTATGCTTACACAACTGTATTCCTGTACATATACACAGGCATACCTTTCTACACGTCGCTTCTCACAGCCTCATCGTGACTGGCCTTGTTCCTCAGGGACACCTGCCCCCACTGTCTCCCTGGGCTCACCATATTCAGGGGTACAAGTCCCCTCTTGTAGGAAATCAGGTGCTTTCATTTCTCACGCTCATAAATGAGGCCGGATGGTCACCCTGGAGGTGTCTTTTATGTGCTCGTCCGTTTGTTTTGGGAGGCAGACTCCTGGAGGTAGGACTTCTGGCCCAAAGCTCGGCCAGCAGAGATTTCTGGGAGCCTTTGGGAGGAGATTGCTGGCCTCAGTCTGGACAGAAGGGTGTCCTGGCTGGTTCTCGCCGCCCGCCTGCCCAGCGCGCCCTGGGCCACGTGCTGGCCAGGCACTCGCACCGGTTGGGTAGGTGCACGTTCCATTCATGAAAAGCGCTCGTTTTAAGCTACATGTTTGGAAATGTCCTTCGCTGACTTTTAAGTAGCAAAACCTGGTAACCTCCTGATGCCTTGGGAAGACCTGAGGTGTGTTTGTTGCAGCCCTACTGTGTGCCCAGTATGCTCATGGAGGCTGGATGGTGAGCAGAGGAGGACTTGGCCCGTGCACAGATTTCACGTGGGTGAATTATCAGTTGCATCTGGAGATCCCTGGTGAAAGCGTCCTCAGTTACGGACAATGGGACTGAAGTTTGTAATGACACCTGATCTATTTGCAGAGGCTTAGGGACTTGATCAGAAGCGGAAACGGTTAGCCACAGTCAGCATAGTTTTGTGGTTAAGTGTATTCTAGTTCTCTGGGAGTGGCAGTCCCTTCCCGCCATGGGTTAGACCCTTGACATTCACGATGGCTTGGTCCCTTTGAGGGGCCTTTGACTCCCCATGCCACCGTAGCCAGTCTCCCCCAGAGCACGCAGGCAGGACCCACTGAGACAAGCATGCAGCCCGCCAGGGTCTTCGCGGTTCTGTAAGCACAGGGCCCGTGCCGTCCATGGAGCTGGGACCGCAATTCAGGCTGGAGCCCTTGCTGACATGGTTTTGGGGGTCATTATTTTTTTCTTTTCTCTATAAAACACATGATTGAGTTCAGATTAGAATCCAAGCCTCAGCTGAGTTCAACTTTTTGTCTTACTTCATCCCAACCTTCTGTGAAACAATTGTGTTATTAGACTTATTTCTTTGAATTTTCATCTCCCACACGAGGAATTGACTTTCTTTTGGGAGCCTTTTTTCTTAAGAAATAGTTTGTCTTCAAACTTGTGGGAGAGACCACGTGGGGTGATGGTTTGAGCCCCAGGAGTTAAATCTATGCTCCTAGCAACACACACCCTGCACACCTGTGGTCGGCATCACCCTCCGTGAGGCAGGTGGGGCTCTGCTGTTCAGGAGGCGACACCCTATTCCCGGCCGAGTGACCCCGCCTGTGTTTGCAGCCACACTCCAGTCCTGCTCTGAAGTGAGTCCAGACATTCTGTCCCCCAGGACCCTTTTGTAAAAAAATATATTTTTATTGATTTCAGAGAGGAAGGGGGAGGGAGAGAGAGAGAAACATCAATGATGAGGGAGTCATTGATTGGCTGCCTCCTGCATGCCCCCTATTAGGGATCGAGCCCACAACCCAGGTATGTGCCCTTGACCTGGGAATCAAACCTGGGACCCTTCAGTCTGCAGGCCAACATTCTATCCACTGAGCCAAACCGGCAGGGCATGTCCCCCAGGATCTTACTCCTGCCCGGATTCCACCCCCTGACTTGACATGTGCAGAACATAGGATTGCCTCCGCCCTCTGGACCCTGAGCCAGCCCCACCTCATCTCTTCACTCAGCAGTGATCATTAATAACCTACTTTGCCAACACTGTCCTGGGACCTGGAGAGCAGACGGCAGTTGAAGTTAAAGTCTCGTGGGAGAGACAGAATAAACTAACAAACAACGGAGAGGCATGTGAGGGCGGAGTTAATAGGGTGATAGTGACGGAGCCCCGGCAGACCTGTCTGAGGAGATGGTTCGAGGCTGGCACAGGGCTCAGCAAGAGGCCAGCCCCGGACGATGTGGCAGAGCAGGTCCCGGCAGAGGACAGACGCGGGTGTGGCTCAGGGGGGACATTTCAGGAACTGAAAGAGCCACCTGGCCAGAGGGTAGCGGGCAGTGGGGAGGGTTGCCGTGGGTAAAGAAACTAAGTTATGACCCAAACGTGGACACTTTTGAAAAAACAAGTGGGTGCTATTAATAATCAGCTGGGGCAACTGGTGTCGCCCAGCACTGGCCCTGGGGACTTGGCCATGTGACCGACCCGCCACCATAGAGGTGGGAGATGGCACTGTTGCCGTCCCTGTCACCGCTGTTCCCCTGGAAGTCACCACAAGCTGACAGCGCCCCTCGCTCTGTCCACACCCTTTCCCCAGGCAGGTGGGGGCTGCAGGGACACGCTGCCCGCACTCCTAACACTGTCTTTGCTGCACATCTCCCGGCTCCCCCAGGAACTCTGCCGAGGAAATGCAAGAAGGAGCTGCTGGCGGTGAGACTGAGGAACCGGCCCAGCAAGCAGGAGCTGGAGGACCGGAACATTTTCCCCCGGAGGACAGATGAGGAGCGGCAGGAAATCCGGCAGCAGATAGAGATGAAACTCTCCAAGTAAGTACGCTGGGGGAGATGGGGGGGGGGCACAGAGCCGAGGCTGGCCGCAGCAGAGCCCTGCGAGTCTCCCCTCTCCCCCCGCGCCTGCCTCCGTGGGCTCTGAGCACGCTCCTCCGTGGGTTGCTGGGCCTGCCACTCCCCACACTTGGCCCTTGTCTGGTTCAATCTCTGCCAGTTAGGGTTAGGGTTGAGGTTGGGGTTGGGGTTGGGGTTAGGGTCAGGGCTAGGTTCAGTCTTCCCAGTTCCTGCCGCCCAACCTCGTGCCGCTCACTGTGTCAGCGCAATGAGCCGGGCTCGCTGATGCAGGTGCAGTCACATAAGTTTCATTTGGTCATTTCTCGTTTTAGTGAGATGGAGCAGTTTTTTCAGTGTTTATCAGCTCTTTTGGCTTCTTCTTCATGTTCCTTACCTGCGGTGTTCTTCACTGTCCCATTGTAGGGGTTACTGTGGAAGTGCTGGCTCTGCCCGTCTCAGCTCTCTGGATGATGCAGTCCTCCCTGTGAGGGACTTGCATTTCTGTTTTGTTCGCTTCCCTTGGATGTGCAGCATTTGGCACTTTTAAGGTCACAGGTCACCGATCAGATACTTTAGGCGTCGGCAGACTTTTGCTTCGAGGGGCCGGGTCGAGACTGTGTGCGCTGGGTTAGCGGGCGGCATGGACTGAGTGTGATGCATAGCTGTGCCAACAACACTTTGTTTACAAACACCGGCCCACAGAGTTGGCTGACCTCTGTTACCGTGCATGGCTCACCTGTCCCTGCCATGTTTCAAAAACCCTTTGCTACTCAGAGGTGAAAACTATATTTACTCACCAGAGTATTTTTCAGTGTCTTCCAAAGAGGCCACTGCACAACAGTTTTCTATTTCATAAAGGAGCCGCGTTCTCCTTTCACGTAGAATATTAAGTGAATTAATTTAAGGGAAGATCGTGAGACCCCGTGACAGTACCTGTGATTCAGATGCAGGACGGGGTTGGCAGTGCTGCTCTGAGTGCAGAGGCGGGCCCCGCCTGCCGTGGTGCAAGAGGGTAGCCGGGCCCCTCTGTTACCCAGAGACCATAATTTTACACATTGTAGTAATAGCTCCTTGGATGTTTGTCGTCGTGTTTAAAAATGGAAAAGCACCCCCTGAACTCGATGCAGAGCAGCCAGTGAGAAATCGCCGGAGGTCAGACTACGCCCGCCCGGGCCAGTTGGTTGCCCTGCAGAAAGGGTTTAATGGATCCCTTTGTCTTTGTTTTGCCTCCTTCCTGAGGTTCTCCTGCCAGCACTTGCTGACTAAGTCAGCCTCTGGTTGCCATGGCAACATGCCATTCCCTCCATGTCCTGAAGGGCAGTTGGTGTTTTTGTTTTATTTCCAGATCCTTAAAATTTGATTCTTTGAGTGCTCCTGGGGCTTTTCTGGTGGAAGTGGTCACGGTGTTCCCTCACCCCCACGACACCCTCTGTGCCGGACCTGGGGACCCAAGTACGTTCAGTCCCCTTGGGAGGAGTGAAGCTCTGTGACGAGCCCTACCCCCTCTGCAGGGCCCGCTCCTTCAGCACCTGTGTAAGTGACGGGAAGCTGGGGACCCCAGCTCCCACGTGCCTGGAATTCAGCACCGAGGCGCACACACGGTTTAAGAGGCGTCTGTGGTCAGGGTGCCGACGTAGTTTTAAGGGCTGACCCTATGCACGAGGGTTGCTTACTTTCCCTCCTTTACTTTAATCCTTACAAGAACCTGTAAAGTAGGTGTTATTGTCATCACCATTTTACAGAGCAGAAAACTAAGTCTATTTTTTTCTTTATAAATTAAAAAATGTTTTTCAATTACAATTGACATCACTGTTACGTTAGCTTCAGATGTACGGCATAGGGCTTCGACATGTACCTCCCTTACCAGGTGTCCCTGAGAAGGCTAGCACCACCTGGCACCATTATATAGTTACTGCAAAGTTGTTGGCTGTATTCCGTGTGCTGTACTTTATATCCCCATGACTGTTCTGCAGCCACCGATCTCAGTTCCTTCACCCTTTTCAGCCCGTCCCCCAGCCCCCTCCCATCTGGCAATCATCAGTCTGTTCTCTGCATCTATAAGTCTGTTTCTATTTTGTTTGTTGATTTTGTTCTTTAGATTCCACATGAGTGAAATCATGTGGTATTTGTCTTCCTCTGTCTGACTTATTTCACTGAGCATAACACACCTAAGTGTTTATGTTTTCATGGCCGAGTGCTATTCCATTGTACGTGTGCACCACTTCTTTATCCACTTGCCTGCTGATGGCTGCCCCCACGTGTTGGCTGTTGCAAATAACATAGCAGTGCAAGTGTCTTTTCAGGTTAGTGTTTTGGATTTCTTTGAATAAGTACCCCAAAGTGGGGTTGCTGAGTCATATGAGAGTTCTGTTTTTAATTTGTTGAGGCGCCTTCATACTGGGTGAAAACTAAGTGTTACTGAGAGGTTAAGGGACTTGCCCAGGGCCCCACGCCGGGTGCCTCGTTCACGTTAGTCACAGCGTTGCATTCTCCTTGTGTTGAGTTAGCTTCTCTGGGGTGCACTCAGCCCTGCAGCAGATGCTCGCCTCGGAGCAGAGTGCTTCGGGCCTCTGTTAGGGTGGGTGGCGGGACATGATGCCACTGTCCCCGACATGGAGCCGTGGGAGGTAGTGAAGACACCCGGGAAGATTCCCGGCTGAGCACAGGCTTTGGGGAAAGGCTGTGAAGTGTGTGAACATCGTCTTCCAGTCTCCCTCCTCGTTGGAATGGTGGCCCTTTGGAAGGTTCCAGGCAGTCCCTGTAAAGACACATCAAGGCGTGTTCCTGGCAGGAGGTGCTCCGGGGCGCTGCTGCTGCATGGTCCTGGCCCGGCCACTCCTGGGCTGGTTGTCACCTGTGTGTATGTGTGTGGGGGGAGGGAGGGGGAATGCGTGCCGTAGGCCTCAGGAGGATGAAAGGAGCTCCCTGACCGAGCAGCTCCTGGGGCAGGGGGGCGGCAGGCCGGCCAGGTCGCGGTGTTCTCCTGTTGTTGATGATAAGATGGTGGCTATTCCTGCCTGAGCGCTGCTGGAACCTTCTGTTACCCCTCCCCGGGGTGGTCCTCCTCTCTGGGGCCCTATGGCCTTGTGCGGAGCCAATTCACCCTCAGCCTGTCCTTCAGGAGAGGCACTTAGCATGTGAACACAGGTGCTAAGTGACCTGGGAGCCCATGCCTTTGAACATTCTGTTCTGCAGCTGAACAGGCTGCCCACACTGGGCCTCATGCAAGTGCAGGTCCCCTGGAGAGAACTGTGGGCGGGGAGAGTGCTGTGGGTGGGGGGAGTAGTGTGGGTGGGGGGAGTAGTGTGGGTGGGAAGAGTAGTGTGGGCGGGGGAGAGTAGTGTGGGCAGGGAGAGTACTGTGTGCCCACCAGGCCTGCCTGCACCAGCAGGGTCTCCAGAAGGAGCTGCCACTTGGAAGGGTGGGGAGAAGGGACAGCTTGATCATGGTGGCTGGACCCCAGAGCCTTTGACTTGGTCCCTTCATTCTACTGAACCTTTGAGAAAAGCTGGGCACGGAGCCGGCGTCTTGGTTCTGTGGACACAGAGTTTTGAAAATACAGAAAACTTTTTTTTCTGCATTTATCAAAAAGAGGGAGAGAGACTTTTAATTGCCAGAAAGGAAGCCACACCTTGGGAAGTGTAGAGGGCCACGGCCGTTGTGGGGGGTGCCGGCTAATGGGCCCTTGAGAACTAGTTGCTCATTTCCCTCCTCCCAACCTGCACTGGCTGGGAGCTCAGCTCGTCCCCAGGGACTCAAATCCAGTCCCTCAGGTGTCACCCAAGATGGGGACAGAGAGCGGTTGTTAGTAGTTGAGGAGAGGTGCAGGGGGCAGCGGGCATGCCTTCTGTGAAACAGCTTCCTGCTGGGCGCCCGCGTGTGTACATGTGCATGTACATGTGTCTCCTGGAATACGCTAATGGGCCTGTTTCTCAGACGAGGAGACTGGCTCAGAGCAGTGCGGCCATTCGTGTCTGCTCACACAGCAGAAACGTGGGGGTAACAGGTCATCTGACCCACAGCAGTTTCCACTTCTGACTGTGCATCCAGATCACCAGGGAGCTCTGTGCGAACACAGGCTCCTAGACCCCACTCCACATCTCCGGAGTAGGGGCCGACACTTCAGCAATTTTCTCTCCCGCGTGCCCCTGCTATGTCCTCCTCAGGACCTTGGACTGCGAGGCGCTAGGCTCAAAATAAGCTGCGCCTGCATCCATCGTAGCCGCCTGTGGGTATCTTAGCAAAGCAAACTCTGTAATCGTGTTTCCTTTTTTGCTTTGGCCACCAGGCAGCTCACAGCACCTATGGGAACTGTGTGGTATCATTTTGGGTATGTGCCTGTGTTTGGCCTCAGTTTTCTCAACTCTTAGCTTTATCTTTATGGGGTATACATGATTTCAAGTCCATTTCTAGATTTTATTATATATGTAGTGTTCATCCTCACCCAAGGATTTTTTCCCATTGATTTTTTAGAGAGTGTGGAAGGGAGGGAGGGGGAAAGAGAGAAACATCGATATGAGAGAGACACATCAATTGGTTGCCTCCCGCATGTGCTCCAACCGGGGCCGGGTATCAAACCTGCAACCCAGGTGCATGCTCCTTGACTAGGAATTGAACCTGCAACCCTTTAATGGGTGGGCCCATGATCTAACCACTGAGCACACTGTCCAGGGCTAGATCTTATTATAAAGATACATCTATTTTATGGTGTCCTTGTTAGCATGTGAGATTTCCCCACACGATCCAATTCACAAGAGTTGTGTATCCATCGCCACGATTTTAGAACATTTTCCTTACCCACAGAGAAGCCGTCACCACTTACCTGTTTCCCACCCCTGGAGCTGCGCCAGGTCCTGTGGACATTTTCCCAGTTACTGCCCCAGGTGGAGGGGGCACTACACCTGAGGCCCGTCCCAAACATCACCAAGTGTTAGGGTCACCGTTGTCATCTTCATCAGCTTTGTTTTCGTCACCATCTCCAC